GGACCGTTTTGGGGCCCTCTTGGGCCAACTGGGGGCCCTCTTGGGCAGTCGAACCGTCGTGGGGCCCTATTTGCCGTGTGGGGGGTGTCTGGGGGGCGTCGTGAGGACGTCGAAGGACTTTCCAAGGCCGTCGTGGGGCTCTCCAGAAGCTCTTTTGGGCCGTCTTGGGTGTCTCTTCGGCCTTGGGGGGGGCGGGGCCATATTGGAGGCTTCTGGAGCCGTCTTCGGCTGACGGAAGCCCGACTGGCTTCCTCAGACATGTGTAGCCGTGTGGACTCTGTTTGAGCACAGAGTCTTTGAGGTATCTTGGGTGCGTTGGTACCTTTGGCCATCTTAGTTGCGTTGGTTGGCCCCTGGGTCGTCTTGGAAGCTAGGGACACTGGCCCACCGTTTTTTATTACGAGGGATCGTGGCCTCGGGAGCACGGATCCGCCGCTTTCTACAGAGGGATTGCGGCCTCCCAGAGGGGAGGGGGGATGAATGGGAGAGGACGCTACTGTGGGGTGGGCGGGGGCCTTTGAATTACAGAAAAGCTACTAGAACACCCTTGGGGTCCCACCAGGAAGACCTACCACAAAGGCCTGCCAGAAAGGCCTTCGGGCCTACCTTTCAGAGAATAGTCCAGGAAGGCCTACCAAAGAGCCTGCCACCCCTGAACCTGCCAGTGGGCACGGTAGCGGATCTGCGAGGTGTCGGCGGTTCCCAGCGATCTCTTCTTTCCATGAGCCAGTGCATCCTTTTTGAGGCTTCGGGCCGCCTGGGGCCCTCCATGGGGCCCCAGGCCCAGGAGGCCTGCGGGAACACGCAGGGACCTCGAGAGGCGCTTTCTCCTGCACCTCCGCCTTTGCGAAGGATGCCGAGTTTCTCTGCAAGCGTGATGTTTTGAAGCGGGATCCGATGCCAAAACGCAGGTTCACCTGTGTACGTGTTCCCCGTTCCTCTACTGCTTTCTGGAATTCTGTGAAATCGGCTGCAAAAGCTGCTTTGTTGTCAACCTCTGCCTTGGAGAGAGTGTATCCTCACCTTCCATGACCAGCTGTGCGAACGATGGAAGAACGTCCATATGGATATGTGTAGCAATGTCCCTCTGGATCTTCATGCACAAGGCGTGCTTTATCCAGCTGCCTGCGGCGAACTGCGCCACCGCGCCAGGGCATCAGTGCAGCGTGAAAAAGCTTGGGTGAAAGACTCATGTTGGGGTTTCCCTGCGGCATCCTGCTGGCCTCCGGGGAGCCTTCGAGGTCTGCTGGGAGGCCTTTGCTGGGCTGTATTGGGAGGCCTCTTGGGCCTTTCGAGGGCGTCTTGGAGTCCTCGGGGGGCCTGGCCTCCTAGCAGCGTCTTTCCTGTCCCAGCTTTGGGTTTCCAGGCCCACTTTTTGGGGGGTCGCGGCCGCCAGCGAAGAGCGCAGGCGGCGAACAGGGTGTCCAGGCCGACGGGCAAGCCTAATTAGCTACTGGGCGCAGCACAAGCCGGCCGGGCCAGCTCACAAGGCGGCAGCTGGGGCAGCAGGGCGGGGGCTGGCTGGCTGAACTGGAGCGCCTCGGGAAGCTCGAGCAACGTGCAGCCCTGAGCAAAATGCCAGTGAATTCTGTGTGGTTTCCAGGCACACGCGGGGCCGTAGAATTTTACAGGAGCGGGCCTGCTCAAATGCAACCATCGCCGCCGCACGGCTAAAGCACAGCATGTTGAGAACATGACGAATCGGGAACATCGACAGCGGAATTCTCTCCTTCCTGAATCAGGCAGGGAAGGCTATTTCCTTAGATGTGTTGGTCTTTCGCTGGGAGACATAGCTGGATTCCGCAGCCCTTGGCTAGAGCCATCTTGGGGGGGGGCTCGAGCACGCCTTTGTTGCTTGGCGAGCCTCAATGGCGCCTGCGTCGTCAAAGCGAGAATGGATACAGACGTGGTAATGCAATCAGCGAGTGGACTAGCCTTTCTCCAAAGATGGGGAGTGATTTGCAGAGACGCGCGCGATATTGGCAACATTAGGGCACGCTCATTTACCTTACAGCAGCGGGGCTTTCTATGACGCCCCCAGCGTGCACAAGGCACGGTGGGCGGATGTATGGCCGAAACCAGACACCGCCAACGAAAACATGGAAATATTGAGGGGAGGGGGAAAAGGGAGGGAGGAGGAGGAGGAGGACGTTTGGAAATAGCGACGGTCAGGGGAAGAGGGAGCGAGGAGGAGGAGGAGGAGGAGGAGGAGGAGGAGGGAGGAGGGAGGAGGGAGGAGGAGGAGGAGGAGGAGGAGGAAAAGTAGAACGTGTGAACATGGAACTGGCGAGGGGGAGCGGGGGGGGGAGACGGAGCGAGGGCCAAAGGAGGAAATGCGGAAATGGTGTGGGAGAGATGGGGGAGACGAAGCGATGAGGAGGAGTTGGAGGCGGAGGAGGAGGGAGGACACTTATCCGCCCGTTGCGTCGAGGCACCGACGATGCGGTGTGGGGCAGGCGGGGAGGGCGCAGTCGAGGGCGCAGTCGAGGGGCCAGCAGCG